AGCTTGTCACGTATGTATATTGCGATGTCTTCGGTGGCACTGGGATGGCGTGATCACATATAAAACGAGTGCCGAAGGAGCTGGGAACTAGCGCGAACACGGCCGTGAGGGCCGCTCTCTAAGCTGACCATGTAGTGTATCCGCTGCCTTTTCATCGATGCCATGCTTGAGCAGAACAACGCAGGCGCCCTTCAGCAACGGATTTCTTTGATGCATCTGTCCAAGAGTGCTTGGAAGCAACCATGTGTATGATAATTACCCAACTTGTCGGGTCATCTTTACAACGGCAGAAACATTCAATTTCGTTCTAGCCAAACGATGTGTCTGTGGCACTCCCGTAGCCAGATGTAGCACTACTGCGTAGTCGCGATAGATAGATAGATAGATAGATAGATAGATAGATAGATAGATAGATAGATAGATAGATAGATAGATAGATAGATAGATAGATAGATAGATAGATAGATAGATAGATAGATAGATAGATAGATAGATAGATAGATAGATAGATAGATAGATAGATAGATAGATAGATAGATAGATAGATAGATAGATAGACATCTGCAGTACACAGAAAATACTTTGTATTCAACATTCAAAACCACGTGATGAAACAGCCGCACTGCAAGCGAGGTGAGCTTCGCGTGCTGTATGGCTTTGCCTAAGTGTTGCATTACAGTAAAGAACCACCAGCTACAAGCACGTAACATCAAATAGTCACAGCTTTGCCACAAAGGCGAAGCAATAAACGCGATAGCAACAAATTGGAAGGCCACGCGCAGAATTGGAAGCAGATCGAAACGTGCCCCACGTTTCTCACGCATAAATGACGCACGAAACGTACTCTAGGATGCATATAAATGTGTAGCAAATTAGTCGGACGCTCCGCTGGGAAATGAAAGTAGGTTTATTTACGTCCAGTCCTTTTATAGAATGGCTGCGGATTTGTGATAAGGCCACCGCTGCTTGCGTGGGTGATAAGCAATAAAATGTACATGTGACGTCAGTACACAGCAATCGCGAATAAGCGTCCCAGTTGTTACTCCGCTGCGTCTCAAAAGTGCGTCCTTTCGCAAACGGAGACTGTGCAACGATTACCGTAACTTTTGTCTCCCCCCCCCCCCCCCCCCCCCCCCCGGTAAGAACAACAAAATCGTTCCGGTGAAAGTATGACGCCAGCCAAGACGTACGATTGCCCCCGCTGCGAGAAGCTCGTGCGTTATCATCCACCCTGCTCCCTCTCCGTGGGGCAAAGTACACGTGGGAGACGAGAGCGCGCGCCTCCACGTCGTGACGATTTGGCGACACTCACTCATTGAGCCCTCTTACTGCTAATGCTGAAACACGACAGTTCCCTCTGAGGTGCCCGTGACCAGCAGTAAGTGGTAGATATAAATACATTGTCGTTTGAACGTTGAAAGAGGTGATTCTTCGTGGCTCAGTTGTTGACGCCACACACTCACAGCTCAAAGGTCCCACGTTTCATTTCGCGTGCCGGACTCTTTTTCTGAATTGTTTTTGTTTCTCTACGTAGATATAGATACGTGTACATATACGGTGAAGTACGCCGACGGTGAAGCACACCGAATCCAGTCGAGAGTGTCCACATAATTGCTATCTCAATAAAAGGTGCGAAGCACTCTTTCAATCACCCTCCAGAGATAAGCACGCGAGCAAAGGTGACCGCGCTCTGTAGCTCAAGGTACAAAAAGATGGAATGCAGCCACATTGCGGGGAAAGATATCTAAGAAGACGCCCTTTGCGCGCTCTTTGGCAATTTACGCCATCTAGAGGGTGACAGTGAACAACCGTCAATTACGTAGCAGCTAATCAGAGCTATGCTTACAAGTGTTGCGGAGTTGGCACTCTGTAAATGGAATGACCAGGTGATCATGTGACCAGGCGCTTTACTATCACGTATTTGACGATGGCATGATGGTTGTGTCCCCTGCAAGCTTTCGTAAACCAGCTTGCCTGCCGTCTCGACTCATAATCTCCCCCCTCGCCCCACCACTACCCCAACCCCTTCACAACGCTGTTCCCCTGTGTGGACACATAGCTGCATTTGCCCGAAGCACGGTCGGTGAAGGCGTTCGAGCGGCCTCTTCTAAGTTCAGAAAGTTTCGGGCGACCGCTGCCGCTCCCGCCCGGGAAACCAGGCAGTCGTGCGTTACGAGCTGAGGTGCACTATCAAATGACCTGATATATTTGTGGTGGCTTTTAGTGTGACCTGTTCAAGCGTAAGCTGACAACCCGAATTGTCGAAAAGAAATGAGCTCGTATTGACACTGTAACATTAAGGAAGAAGGCGGTAGAGTTTCTTTTTGACAGTATTTCTTGAGATATATCCCTTAAGTTTAATAACAATGGTAACTCTCAGCAGTTAAAATTACTGATTGATTATTATGTGGGGTTTACCGTCCCATAATCACCACATGATTATGAGAGACGCCGTAGTGGAGGGCTCCGGAAATTTTGACCACCCGGGTTTCCTCAACGTGTGCCCAAATATGAGCATTTTCGCCTCCACCAAAAACGCAGCCGCCACAGCCATTATTCAATTCCATGACCTGCGGGTCAGCAGCCGAGTATACATAGCCACAAGACTACCGCAGCAGAGCGCAGTTAAAACTACTGCATTAGAGTTAAATACATCCACGTTCCTATGAAAGGTAGTACCATCGCTTCGAAAATGAAGTGCAATGATGACGAGCGGCGAGTGAGTTGGTTTGCTTTGTTGACAGTTGTGCATCCTCTGGGAGACAAGACACAGCCAAGCTAACCATGAAAGAGCTGAGTCGTTGGTCATTTTTCTGTTTTTATGCTGTGCAAACTCAGGCTTCAATACAACACTTGAGTTATCATTCAGCGCAGGCATTCATTTGAGAAGTACACTCTAAGAACTAATGGAGTATTTGGGGAGTAGTTCTGCTACGCAAAAATAATAGTTATCTGACTTGCTCGCGTTTTCTTTCTTGAAAACCTGGTGCTGGCCACTTTCCTGTCGGGAATGCTATGTTACACTGATAAAGCACGCACCGTTCGTGGCTGCGAACAACCGAAGCCGTGGTGATCGCGCGAGGAAAGGGCTCGAAGTAGATGAAGATCATTGTTGTGTAGCAGAAACACTCCCCCAATACTCGATTTTTGAAGTGTATTCTGCAATGTTTCTGGTGAGTTTTTGTTTAAATGAAGTCGTTAATATTCAACACGAGAGCACGTAACACCTGCGCATGTGGACGATTCCTTCCGACCGCACACAGGTATTTTCCTGTGGGCAGCCACTCTTCCACGTGTTGTTATCTATTCTCACGAATGATTTAGGCAGATTTAAACAAAAACCTGCTCTTTTAAGCCTGTTGGACGAATTCGAGGGCACAAATTGATTGATTTGTGGGGTTTAACGTCCCAAAACCACCATATGATTATTAGAGACGCCGTAGTGGAGGGCTCCGGAAATTTTGACCACCTCGGGTTCTTTAACGTGCACCCAAATCTGAGCACATGGGCCTCGACATTTCCGCCTCCATCGGAAATGCAGCCGCCGCAGCCGGAATTTGAACCCGGTACCTGCGGGTCAGCAGCCGAGTACCTTAGCCACTAGACCACCGCGGCGGGGCACGAGGGCACAAATTGTTACGACTGATGACCTGACTGACGACGACCGGGTAGAACCGCGTCTGTCAGTCTGTCCTTTTTGATTGTTGCCGTAACCAACAGAAATAATTCACCGACGACAACAGTACCTCTTATGCGACACTTAATTGCTGATGAATAAGTATTTCAAATAAGCGATTTACGAGGAAAAGAATTCGAGAGAGACCTGTGCGTAACTACTGAAGGCGACGTACGTAATTTGCTTTGACGGTGCAGTCGGCGGAATCCTCCCAGCATAGGATTGTACTTTGGTGGCGCGAAGCTCTGGGTTTCGACATCGGTGTTGCTGAGCCTCTGTTTAGAGAGAGAAAAAATTAAAACAAGAGACAGAGAGCTTCACTTAGAAGATCTGGTTTGCTACCCTGTACAGGGGTGGGGAAAGAGCCTCTGCTCAGATAGATCATTTAGTCACGGTGGCTAAATTAACTGAAAAATATATTGGCTAATGAAATCATCGGTTAACGCATGTAAGCACCTTAATCCCGCGCCAGGTACCGTGCGGCCATACGCCTCTGCCGAGCCGTATTTTCTCTAATGCAAATTCGTCGCACCACTTTCCTGCTCATGCTACCGTTCTGTCTTTTTCACATTCGTCGTCTCGCTCTATTCGATGCCAATGTCACACCATCACCCCGATGCGCTGGTCCAGTGGCTAAGGTACTCGGCTGCTGACCCGCAGCTCGCGGGATCAAATTTCGGCTGTGGCAACAGCATTTTCGATAAAGACGAAAATGCTGTAGCCATGTATACATTTTCGTCTCTATATAAAACGCTGTAGACACTCGAGACGAAAATTCTGTAGACAATCACAGACGAAAACGCTCTAGGCATTTCGTCTTAGATTTTAGGGCCCGTTAAAAACCCCAGGTGGTAGAAATTTCCGCAACCCTCCACTATGGCATCTTTTATGATTATAAAGTAATTTTGCGACGTTAAACACACACATCAATCAATCAATCAATCAACTGCCCCCGTGTCTGACACACTACAACGCGCTCTGCGCTCGCTTTGCCACCATGCCGAGTGCAAATTGTTCGCTCGCTTACGCCAAACCTGTGATACGCAAAAATTGCCACTTGTCAAAAGTTCCCTTCTGAAATTTTTGCGCATGCGCATCAACCAGCCAGCAAGATATCGTGTCATGAAAAAATTCGAGCCACCGCAGCAGCACGCTTGGTGCGTATATATCTATACCTACCATACCAATACTCCCATCGTGCATCATTTGCATTGATAACGCTCTTATACTTAGAACAGTTGCATCATGCACATTTTCATTCAGCAACCTTCGTATTAAGTAGATGCGTTCTGACGATATTTCTACAGGAAGGAAAGGCCTGAGGTAGCAGCCACCCTGCCGTCTTTTCGAGGAACGAACCGCTATAGTTCCAGTGATCGCAACGCTCCATCTTTAGCACTGAGACGTCCTGTCGATACAGAAGAAGACTGTCGCAATGTGGTTTCTCTTGCCTGCTAATCAAACTGAGGAGGTTTTAGCCAACTACCTGAATGATGAAGACAACGCACTAGCCTTGCGGGAACTTCATGTCACCTGCTGCTTCGTCGCCATTCCCGACCAACTGCTCAAGTGCGTACAACGATGCACCATGTTACACAAGCTGCGCTGCGTGGCCTGTCCTTTCAAGGCGAGTGATATGATGTCCCTGCTGCTCCAGTTACCTTTTCTAGACCTTCTACACTTCTCCCTCGTGGCGCAGCATGATCTAGCCGGTGAGATGACGAAAGTTCTCGTGCAATGCGCGCGCGGCCGCACAGCTTCCAGCCTGCGCAGCATGTATGCCGAGGTGATGGGCGACAGCAACTTCGCAATTCTCGCGGTTTTCTTGTCTTGTTGCCCGAGCCTGTCCGATTTGCATGTGCACTATATGTCCGGGCAGTTGTCATACGCGGTTCTATACTGTCAGGAAATCGTCGAGGGCATCTCTTCGCTTAAGAATTTTACCTTCTCCTCAGATGTCCCGGCCTCTCTACAGCTGGATATGCCCGTGGAAGTGGGCTTCAAGACTTGCTTGCAAATAAGCTCAAACGTCACTTATTCCCAGTCGCACTCCCATAACTACAGTTTCGCTCAGCTCAGTGACATTGCGTTCGGACATAGTGGCCCTGACTTGCCGCCACAGCTCGTACTGCTAGCCATTTACCAACCCGAACATTTGGCCCAACGTATCAGCTCCGCCTGCGAAATGGCCCACTGGACATCAGTGCACCGTCTTTGCCTCGTCCTAGTTCCGGAAGAACCGGAAGCTACGCACTATCCGACGCTGGGTGCAGAGTTCTTTCCCTGCCTTCGCGAATTCTTCGTTAAAGCAGCGAGAAATCTGCAAGAGCTCAACGTCAACTCTTTCCACTTCGGCCTCGACCTTGACCTTACGAAGGTGCTATTAGTCGCCAATATCAAGACTTTAAGGGCACTTTCAACTCCGCCTTGCGGGCTCCGCCATCCGTCCGCACTTCAGCGTCTCGTCAGTAGCTGCCCGGCTCTACAAGATCTGGACGTTCGTGTATACCGCCGAGGTTACTTGTTCCACTGCGCTGTTTGTGAAAGCCCGTTTGTCTTGCACGACGACGGCGTGGCCGTACTCAGCGGTGACAATCTTCGCAAGGAGTTCCGGCTCACCCTTTGTGACTTGCCGAGCCTAGCATCTTTGAAATTTCTTCTGCGCTGTAATGTCACGGAGCTGCGGCTTCTAAACTGTCCGGAGACAGTACGCGAAAGTTACGCGGCGCTTGGAACGCTGCTTCCTGGCAACGGTAACCTGTGGTACCTCCAGCTTCAGCAGGACTGGTTGCCGCTGTGTGATCAGTCCTTCATTGTAAGTATTCTTTCCGATCACTTTGATTCAATTTCTGATGCTGACAAAAAACTGTATAAATCAATCCCACTGCCCTACCAAACTGCTCGTTCACCGCAGAACACTTTGAGGATGCCGTTGTTGCGTGTTCAGGTAAAAAGGTAAAACACATGGAAGGCTGGGTCCATGCACTGAGTATGACGACACTTACCATACACCTAACACTATTAGCCTGGATGATTACTTAGTTGAATTATTCCTGCTGTGACAGATAACTTTCATGTTAGCGTTGTTTAACTCGAAGTACAGGTTCGACTTACGGCACTGTTTCGTTTCGGGCGACATGAAAACAGGCCCTCATGGTCCCCAAACATAGAGCGTGCCTCAAAATCATATTTTCGATTTCACATGTAAACCCCAACGGTTGAAGACTGTAAACTGTTGAATGTTATAGTGTCTTTGAAAGTATTATCATGAAATACCGCCCCCCACCCCATCACTTCGAGTCATCCATGTTCTTAGCAGTCGATTGTTGGAAGTATGGACGTCATTACAAAAGCATACTATTGTATCATGTCTCTGTGAAATGTACTTTTGGCCACAGGCGGCCATAATAATGTTCTTTAGCTTAAAAACGCATGCGTATGCTCTGTTCAAAGTGGCTGGCAAATCGCTGTCTAAACATCTGTTTTTACATAAGTCAAAATTCATTTTTACCCTTCCTTTTTGTACAACTTATCCAATTCAGTGACTTTCCTAACATTATGAATAGTCGCGAATTCAGATTAAACGTGAATGATGGGTGTGCTGTGTGGCCTGCGCAGTATTACGAGATTTTTTTCGAGACGATAGTTTTTCTTAGGGACCTTCGACGCAAAAATTATGATCTTTCTGTACAATTGTCTCTTTGTCTACTTTTAACGGTACCCTAAACTGCAACAAAGTTACCAAACGGTGCTCCAAACGGCCGACTCCATCCGCTGCGCCCACCAATTTTGCTCAAGGTTCAGCGTTCATACTTGTGTGATCATCAATTAAAAAAACAAATATTGTGCATATCTCAGCCACCATAACAACTCGTCAATATTGTGTATTTTTACTAGAAAAGGCATACATAAGTAGTTTTAAGGATGGAAGATTTTATAATGCTGCGCTGGCTACGCAACGCTTGCACGAAACGACAGCTGCTTCTAACGATTCCCTAAGACGACATGGTGGTGGTACCTACCCGTCACCTTGCGTTCTACACCTTATCACCTCAGAGGCGGGCGCGTACGGCACACGCCCCGTTTTGCCGGATAACTGCCAGATAGCGCTCATGTTTTACGTGTGACGTGACTTGATGCGCTGGTTCACATCCGCTGCTCGCTCGAGGAACTCTAACGCAGCGCCTCCAGAATACCATTCACAGATTGTCTAGCGCAGAACATCAAATAAACGTTTTCTTCACTCTCTCCAGACGCAAGACTATTGTCTTTCGACGACATATCTGCGGTGTAACATGGAGATATAGGGCCTATTTTTTTATGTGAGCTGCTTCATAGTCACGCGCTGCACTTAACTATATCATAACGTTGGTGCCACTAAGTTTGTTAGGTAAGAAATGAATAAAATAAGCAGTTTAAAATATATATTACCTGACAATTTCAAAGCGTGGTGAGCCCAGAGTTGAGTGTTTTCGTTAGTGCACCTATTATGCAGTAGGCTGTTTGCCTTAAACGTCTAAAAAATCATCCTAAAGCATTGTTTTGCAGCAGCTGGTATATTCTCCCACGCAAATGACCATTTTATGTACCGTTCAAAATAGCTGAAATTGATTTTGCTGTCGCCCTGTATTTCATGTTTCTTAAGTGCAGCTTTGTTATTGCGTGTGCGTCGTTAACTTCGCTTTTCAATGCACCGCCCTGCAACAAAGACCGGTTGTCTTGGACAACACCTATATATAATGTAAGCATTTGATCATTTCACTTACGGTGCAAGAAGAGTGTGCGTAGCTCGTAAGATGGCAACATCATCGAGGTCATATTATCTCCGAGCGGTTGATTTTTGTCCGACATGTCCCTTACATTCTACCTTGAATATTTAGTACTGAGACAGCCCTGAACATATTTTTGACAATAGTATTTTACTTCCGGTACACTATCGATAACATACGTTATCGCACTTAGTCTAAAATCGCAGCATTACAAGTATAATGCATTGCACCTGCAGAGAAATGTGACCGCTGTGACCCGTGACCGAAATGGCCCAATTTAGCTAAGGCTGCCAAGTTGAGTGGCAAGTATGCCAATGTCACTCTTCTGAGCCTGGATGTCCTGTTTCTGTTTGCACGTTTGCCATCCATGTTTGAAACTGAAAATGCAACACGATCACTTTTCATCTCCAGCGAAATTCTTAGGACCAGGTTTCGCCGATTCCTAATGAAAAATGCCTGCCCAGTACGCCATGCAGCCTGCAAATGCTGCATGCTATTTTGATTCACCTGTCCTAAATCAAACAGTGTCTAAATTGTAAATAAAAGGCGAGGAATAAAACGTTACGGGAAACGGAACAAGCTCATTAGCTTTCTTGTTTACACAACCAATATTTTTTCAGTCTAATCAAATAGCGGTGGTTGTTTATTTATTCGCCTCGTTCTGTTAACCAAATGACACATACTTGCATTGCAGGTTAACCTGGCCCTCATTCAGAGCCTGAAATACGTGTGCCTTATAACGGGTCAGCTTGCGTCGGATGATAATGTGCATAAGATCCTGCATGGCTTGCACCTCGCCATGCCAAACCTGACAGTAGCACACGTCCACTACCGTCGGCCACCAGAAGGCATTGAGCAACGAATCACGTGGATGAGAAGCGCCAGCCGGCCACGCTATCAAAAAGTCGGACATTTGCTACGAGACTACCCCTGCATTATGTGCTGTACGGCGACGTTCATTGGCCTCGCGATGCCACCAGCAACCCAAGTCATTTTCGCCCCGTAACCTTTGCTACCTATATCATATTGGGTTGAGAACTTCATGTCTCTTTTGCATGCATACCACGAAGCGGAACTTCTTGCTGCAATTGAAACATTTCAAAAGCGCTTTTTAGTATATTGTTTTACCCTGTGACAAAATGAAGCCAATAAACTTGGATGCTTTTTGAATTGACGTCATGGTGTATGCACAAAAATGTCAACAAAAACATCGAATAGATGGTAAATAAACATTTATCGCCAAGCAAAGTTTTTGCTGCAGCCTAAGACCAACAACGTACCCCGATTCCACATTTTTTGAAATCTGCAGGAACCGTGGATTTATGGTTCTTGTGCGTTTTATTTGTGATTTTCTGTTCTGTCTTCTTCTTGCGTGTAGTGTCTGATTGGGTTCGTCATGAAGTAGAGGTTCACAAACGCAGACGTGTGGCAGCTCCTGCATCACCCGTCCCGGCTAAAGTGACTAAGGGCCCTATTCACACTCAAGCCACTTCTTCGTCTTTTCACTTTGTGGCCACTGCTTACTCCGCGTGCAACTTTTTTAGGCCGCTTGACACGGCTAACCAGTTCTCCTCCTCCTTGCAAGTAACAACTTTTTTTCTCTTATTTATTATTCTTTTCTTAATCTAACGTATTCTGTTCTCTCACTCTCTCTTTTATCCATATACACCGTGAGTGTTTCGATTGAGGTGTCCTTCTTGAGAGGCAGTTACCATAGCCTCCTGCCCCTATTTCCTACATTTGTCTCGAACTTTGTTTAATAAATATCGTCTCTAAAATATCTCATCCACGACTTAGGGAGCCTTCATATGCGCCATCTATTGGTGAACCTAGAGAGCAGAGCAGGACATCCAAAGAGGACGCGCATTTGTAGTCAGGCCCAGCCCTGGGACAGTTACGCCGTTGAAAGCAATAGTGGAACAACTTTGTATGGCGGTGTGAAGTTTTAGCGATAATATTAGAAAAATTCAGCAAATCCCACGTACCTGGGAATCGACGTTATGCGAAGCATGCGGAGGGCAGTTGACCATGTTGCGTTTTTTTTTATTGAGCAACACGTCATAAACTGACGCTAAATATATGTACAAATGTTGCACGCACAGACATATGTTGAAGAGTTGGAGATGTTTATATAACTAGTTGTTCGTACTTGCGCTACGATGTCAACTGGAACATGCGTATTAGCAACACCAGAATCTGATATGAAGCGCTGTTGCTCGCGATGATGCTGGCCCTAAGCACTGCTACATAAATCAACTCCAGCGCATGGCAACTAACCACAATTGACGTTAACCCGACGTGACAGCTGTATCAGTGGAGTACATATGTAATGCTTATAAAATTGAGTAGGCACAGCAACCACTATTGAGATTTCACGAAGATCACCGTCTATTCGAAAAGTAGTTCCGAGACCTGAAAAAGAGTCTGACTGATAGTACTCCTTACGACTTGTTTATGTTGTTGGGACTTTATTCATTGTGGAAAAGTCGCATGATCGATAGACACGCCGAGCCACCACGGTCGACGAGATCTGTCTTCCTAGAAGCAGCTGCTCAAGTGCGCAGTGTTGTCGAGACTTTTGACCCTGTTACGGAGTGGCTTCCCGTTCTTGACGCTTGTGTGTGTTTGCCTGACGTCTGATGAAGTATGTTCTGTGTACTTTACTGGTGATAATGTCATTCATTAAAGAAAAAAAACCTGGAGTAGCTTTGTGGCAGAATGCTTGACTGACACTCAGAATGCTTGGGTTCGATTCCTGCCTGGACCGTGAAATATATTTGCATTCGTTGGGGTGTCAACGCTCCCTATGTGAAGTTTTTCTTAACACTGGCATTTATTCTATGCTTTTGTTGGATCGACATCACATATGTCGGGTATTGCGTAACGCTGACGAATTATAATTGCCCTTGTCTGTTCTCGTCGTTGCTGGATGGATACTAGGGGTCAATCACCTCTGGCACATACCCGCATACCAGCGGCACATACCCGACCGTGGGTATGTGCCACTGTCTGGCGGGAAGTGTTTGACGACGTACGCGATGGGATGGTAACATTATTCGTGTCTTGACAAGCGCGTCATATTTGTCAAAAAATCTTACCCTCTGCTAATTTTGGTTCACGCGAAGTTAAGGGGGTGACCACGAGAGAACCTAAACGTAAGCGGCTAGACAGATAGATACGTAGATGGATACGCTCAAAGTCGCTGAAGTACACTGAGAAATGCTTCGCATTTAAAACTACCGACGCCGTGTGGCAGCTTGGGCTAGTTGGTATGGCATGACGATAGTTATAGCGCGAGAACAAAACGACGTGTCTTTCGTGTCCTTCTTGTCTCTGTGTCGTCGTTTTGTTCTCGCGCTATAACTATCGTCATACCGACGCCGATTGTAAAGGAGTTGTGATGTGCGAGTGAAATACTTCAAGGGCTGGTGCGTGTGATGCACGCGTAAAGAAGAGAGAGAATAAACTTTTATTAATAACAAATGCACACTGGGCCTTCTTTGGGTGGGGCCCTCAGTCAAGGGCTCCATTGCCTTTCGTGACCCTGCGAGCCCGCTGTACCAGCTGCTGCTGTTCCTGCCGGCGTAAGCTGAGCAGTGCAGACTCCCAAGAGGAAAGGGTAGGGTTGGGAATGGGAGGAACACCATGTGGGGCAGAGCATTCCCACGTGGAGTGGTACACTGTCGGTACGGATCCACAGAAGGTGCAGTAGGAGGGGTAGAGAGTCGGATGAAAGCGATTTAGCATACAAAGGCAAAGAAATGATTTGCTCTGTAGTTGCCACCAAGCGACAGCATCTGCTCTGTTAAGTGAAGGATGAGGGGGATAATACGTATAACGGCTCTGTCGGTAGAACTACAGCGTAGCGCTGTAGTTTAGTGGTTCGGTCGATGCGTCGCTTGGGTCGGACAGCTCTTCCAATAGAGCCCGGCCGGTCAGCTCTCGGGCAACCACATGAACGCGTTCATTACCATGGACAGAGGCATGTCCAGGAGTCCAGACGATAAGCACAGGACGTAATGCGGACGGTGAAACAGGAGAGGCATATTGTGTGTATGTGCAGCCACAAGTCCTTGAGCGAAAGCACAGCAAGCGTTCAACCAGGTCACGTACGTAGCAGCGTTCGTCCACTGGAACAAGGCCGAGAAAGACAAAGGTCGACGCGCTGATTAGAAAAGCGTACAGAGCTGCGCTGGATGTACCGCAACCCTTAAAGAACACAAGGCTGCAACTCAGTGTACATAACACGGTAGATGAGATCGCTGAAGCACAGAGGATAGCGTGACTCGAACGATTGTCTGGAACCATAGCGCGTAGAAAAATTATGAAAAAGATCTCCAATAACTACCATGAAATGAAACGTCCCAAGATGCACATTCACCCGACTTGAGGTCCGGGATCATCACAGAAAAACATCCCAAAAATGTGCCTCCTGTGCACAACGTTGAGAGACAAAAATACCACTCGAAAAGTATTCTTGAATACTATACACGGCACGCAGGAGCGGGGGCTTTTTGTATACGCCAACTGGTATTCTCGAATTAATGACATCGGTAATAGGGTTATGCGTGGTTCCCTTTTCACAATGGTGGTCATAGACACAAAAGGGAAAACCCTGACCGTGGGGCTCCGTGAAGAGAACATCGTCAGAGGCAGCAGAAGAAATGACCATTGTACTGGCGGTATTCATTGGTAGGAAAAAATGCGACAGATTAAGAATCAGTGACTCCAAGATTACCATTAGAAACTTAAGAAAAGTATTGGTCTCTACCAAAGCATCCAAAATCGTGTTCCCTAGAGCAGAAGACTTTCGGAACGAAAACTTGTACTCAGACACCTGAAGTGGATCCTGGCGCACATCGGGGAATTCAACAACAAAGACACGACCATTCCTCCAAACCTCAACGAGAGGCCCACCGAACCATGCGAAAACTAATTAACCACGGCTCAGGCAGCAAGATATTCTTACACAAATCTTCATTACTTTGCCCATTTTCAATGGAACGTAAAAAAATGCTACTTATTTTATGTCCAATATCGCTTCACAGAAACCTTGAATGGTACTTAGTCTAAAGACAGAGTAAATTTCGCTTTGTTAGGTTGAATAGTTTGCCGTACTCACAGTACAACAGAGGATTGTACAGCGAAAATGCTTTTGTTGCTCACACTGTTTTCATCAGTCCTAGGTAACACTTCCGACCAGGCAATAAAATCAGATGTCATTAAAAGAGAGGATAATAAGCTTTCTGAAGAAGCATAATTCAGTTTTCTTTATGAAGCACAGCGAGCCCAGTGTATCTGTAAACAATGCATAAAAGGCGGAGTGGTTGCGGCCGGACTGGTACGACCACCTTAATCAAAGAGCGCAAGGTAAGGCTGATGGCACTAGCCCGACAATCGTGACATGGGTGTGGTGTGAGTTAACCCCGGGTCAACGTTTGGCACCCAATGAAGTTCTTCCCACCATACCTAGACGACGACGAAGTGATTGCTTAGCAGATCGCTGTTTCAGTAGGTGTTCTCTTTTTTCACCTAATTATAAGTGAACTTCGCGAATATCAAATCCGTCTCCGCTGGTGATGGACGTGAACCTCCACGGACGTCCACCAGATACGGTGGCGTTGGCGGTGGCCGCATGCAGGAAGCGTACGGGACTCTACAGCGACTACGACAGTGAGGGCACTCTTGTTTACTCAATGAGCAGCGAAGAGCCTTCCGACGACGACGATTTTAAGCTGGTGCTGAGCCGTAAAGCGAAGAGGCGGAACGTCAGAACATCTTCGTCATCGAGTACACTGAACGACAGAGTGCCAAGAAGACCCGTGACAAACACTATCCTTTTTGTCCCTGAGGTACCTGGCGGTAACATGAAGCGCCTCAACGGGCAATCTGTTTCGGTGATGCTGGAAGAACTCGTGCCAAACGAGATCACAGACATCATAGTGAACACGGGTAAGAACGTATTGGTCATCGACGTTTCACATGCTGCGGCACTTAATATACTGCGCAAGGTCAACGAGGTGGAGGGAATCAAAGTTCGCTCCTACATTCCTGTGAGCTCTAAAGTCGTCACTGGAGTCATCTACGATGTGGATACTGCAGTTCCCAGCTCCGACTTCGATGTTCTGGTCAAACCGGCAAATGAAGCCAGCATCATCGCAAAAGATGTCCGTTTGGGAAACTCATGCTGCTTGAAGATCATGTTCAAGGGCGACTCTCTTCCTTCACACGTAAAGGTGAGCC